AAGGAAAACATGTTAAATGACTGATTTCTGCAGTTATACCTTCTTTTCTTTGCTTTCTAATTTAACAGAAAAAAATCTGTAAATTATTACGGAATATTTTATGTAAAATTACACATAACCCTGTAAAAATACAGACAATTTCCTTTTAAAAAAACGTAAAATTGATGTAAAACCAAAATACAAGCAATTACCTGTAAATTCAATAGTGGACCTTTAAATTACAGCAAATATCTGTAAAATAACAGGCATTCACTGTATAATGACAAAACGGCAAAATTCTGTAAAAAAAAATACAGACCATTACCTGTAAATTTACTCTCTTTTTTACAGTGTGATGTAATAAGCATATTTTACTTTTTCTTTACATTTTCCCACCTCCTGTCCTTTATATCCATCCCCCCTAAAGTACAAATGTAAAATTAGAATATTATATGTGCTATGCTAAAAATTAGATCATATATACACTCACCGGCCACTTTATTAGGTACCCCATGCTAGTAACGGGTTGGACCCCCTTTTGCCTTCAGAACTGCCTCAATTCTTCGTGGCATAGATTCAACAAGGTGCTGGAAGCATTCCTCAGGGAGTTTGGTCCATATTGACATGATGGCATCACACAGTTGCCGCAGATTTGTCGGCTGCACATCCATGATGCGAATCTCCCGTTCCACCACATCCCAAAGATGCTCTATTGGGTTGAGATCTGGTGACTGTGGAGGCCATTTTAGTACAGTGAACTCATTGTCATGTTCAAGAAACCAATTTGAAATGATTAGAGCTTTGTGACATGGTGGAAGTAGCCATCAGAGGATGGGTACATGGTGGCCATAAAGGGATGGACATGGTCAGAAACAATGCTCAGGTAGGCCGTGGCATTTAAACGATGCCCAATTGGCACTAAGGGGCCTAAAGTGTGCCAGGAAAACATCCCCCACACCATTACACCACCACCACCAGCCTGCACAGTGGTAACAAGGCATGATGGTTCCATGTTCTCATTCTGTTTACGCCAAATTCGGACTCTAACATCTGAATGTCTCAACAGAAATCGAGACTCATCAGACCAGGCAACATTTTTCCAGTCTTCAACTGTTCAATTTTGGTGAGCTCTTGCAAATTGTAGCCTCTTTTTCCTATTTGTAGTGGAGATGAGTGGTACCCGGTGGAGTCTTCTGCTGTTGTAGCCCATCCGCCTCAAGGTTGTGCGTGTTGTGGCTTCACAAATGCTTTGCTGCATACCTCGGTTGTAACGAGTGGTTATTTCAGTCACTGTTGCCCTTCTATCAGCTCGAACCAGTCTGGCCATTCTCCTCTGACCTCTGGCATCAACAAGGCATTTCCGCCCACAGAACTGCCGCTCACTGGATGTTTTTTCTTTTTCGGACCATTCTCTGTAAACCCTAGAGATGGTTGTGCGTGAAAATCCCAGTAGATTAGCAGTTTCTGAAATACTCAGACCAGCCCTTCTGGCACCAACAATCATGCCACGTTCAAAGTCACTCAAATCAACTTTCTTCCCCATACTGATGCTCGGTTTGAACTGCAGGAGATTGTCTTGACCATGTCTACATGCCTAAATGCACTTAGTTGCCGCCATGTGATTGGCTGCTTAGAAATTAAGTGTTAACGAGCAGTTGGACAGGTGTACCTAATAAAGTGGTCGGTGAGTGTATACGGTGTATGTTATGTATAGATGTATATATAAATGAGGTCTCACCCTCACCACGGATTTCTTTCCCATCAGTCTTTGAGCTCCTCAACCGGAAGGAGAAGCATGATGGACAGCTTAGAGGATTCCATCTGTTTCAGACTGATATCTTTTCACACAGGTGACAGGTGGTGTATCAGCACTGTGTGTGTTTGTGCGTTATTTTAGTAAATACATTGGGGGTTCTTATGTAAGTTCGGCAGGGCTGTCATAATTACCATTTGTCAAAAAAAGAAGGTGATGGCCATTGTTAATCGCCGCTCAACCGAGCGATACTTTGATCCTCCCCCGTATAATTTGTTGTTGGTGTTGTATGAGGTGATTGTAAAGGATTTTGCTGATGCACAGAAGTGTGAGATGATTCTGACAGGCCCTGTGGTAAAGGGACAGACACTGACCACAACTGCAGTTTGAGTCAGAATAATCATGCTAAGATTGCTAGAATCATGCTAGACAACCAATGCAAAGAAAAAGTGTGTTTAAATGTGTCACAAATGTGTGTGTGATTGAGAAAGAGGGAAACATGGATGTTCCTATCTAGATGCCGCTGTTGGGAGTTTGTTATTGGTGGGGTGTCAAATTGGGTTAGCAGAACAGGATTTGAGGGGGCGTCCTGACTTTTTTTTTTTTTTTTTTTTTTTTTTCTGTGAGACTTTCAGAAGGGATTAATCCTGAAGTCCCAACACATTTGAGCTCAGCTAACAAGGCCACAAGCATGTTTGGCCTCTAAAGTCCCCGGCCTTTCAACAGAGCAGAAGCTGCAGCTGTGAATATCTGGATTTCAAAATAATGATGGGTTTCTTACTTCTGGATTTATTTATGAAGATGACGATAAGAGCAGGTAATTTCTAATGATTTCGTATTATATTATAATAATTTAAATTATTATAAGAAATTAAATTATTATATATTTGATGATATACATTTTAGAAAAGTAAAAAGTTAGTTTTTAATATAAGAATTTGGCTGCAAAAGTAAGTTATTTTAAGTCATTAATAAAGTGCTAATTTTAACGTTATTAATGAGCGCTAACTTTGATAGACTATTTAACTTCTGACAGTAGGAATTTGCTGTTAAATATCATTACATTGATACATGCATTACATACCAATACCTATTTCCAAAATATACACATTTACTTCTTTAATATTTTGATGCACAGCAAGGAACTGTTACCTGCATTTCTGCATCACTTTCTTTTTTGGGGGGGCTTTCGTTGTCTACATGCCCAAATGCTCCACCTTCCATAACATTACCTGTTGGCACAGATCCCCTATAGATTTTGAGATATATCCAACAAGGAGCAAAGCTGTTCTTTGCTTCTCAGGGCGCCAATCCTGAGGACAAATCTTAATTACACCACAAGCTTCTGACAGCTCTCCGCTGTGACTGGAGATCCCTACGAATCATGTCAACACTCACAAACAAGATAAGAGCAAAAGAAAAGAAGTATATGAGAAGTTTATGAGGTCTTTTCAACTAATAATCTTTTTGAATGTGTGCATTTTCTGACATCACCTGCAGACAGCGATATAGCTTACCTGGTGCGTTATCGCATTAAAAACACACACAGGAATACACTGGACACTAAACTGATTATGTTCATCACACTTTTACACAGAATTACAGAGGTATCACGCCTAGGGACTCCAGTTGGGTTTAATATAACTCAGATGTTACTTCCATATTTTACTTCTCTTTTGCTTGACTGTTAATATCAGCACATTTGGCACAAGAAGCTGGCTTTTGTTAACCCTTTTGATTGTATTTTGTTAATATTGAGGTTCGAGAGACACAATGCTGTAAGTATAATAACAATAATAAACTTTAACTTATTTTATTTCAGCTTGTTGCCAAGGCAACATTTCTTATTTTCATTTAGTTTAACCTGATGTACTAAAAGAACTAAAAACTGAAATAAAAATGAAACTATATGAGCAAGCTATTTTTATATTTAGATTACATCTGCCATCATCTAACGCTCACATAGTCTTTACAATCTTTCAAATGTATCTCAATTTAAATTTAAAAATTACAATTTTACATTCTCCTTTTTAGTATGTTTTATGTTTTTAAAACAATTGATTTCAAGTGTTTTATTATTTTGTTTAAAAAAATATAGAGAGAATTTTGATGTTGACAAAACCCTAAACCCTAACATTAGTTGATGTTTTATAACTGTGTTCTCTGGAACAATACATAATGTAACATTCCAAATATGAAACTCATAAGATAAGTTCTCATAAGAGGAGTAAAGGTTGTGAAGTATCAATCCCATTCTTAAATGTTAAGTATGTTTTTTAAACAGTTCAAATAGCCTTGGGGTCTCTCAGACCTCAAAAAAAAGAAATGTTAATGCATTGTTTTTGACCAACAGCAGAGCAGTGAGCTGCTCTAACAGCAGCTCTGTCAGAAAGCATTGAGTTCAGTCAGATCTACATTATCCATGTTCATGTTGGCGTAACGGTGTGTGAATGTGGGTGGTCAGTGATGCGCCCTGGATTCACTGAGTCATCACATGGGGGTTTTCCTGTAAAAGCTAAACCCCAGTACCACCTCCCTCTCTACCTCAGGCTAGCTTTGTATAAGAGTAATGGTGTACCATAGGAAGTCTAGTTGTGGGGTAAGTGCCTGTGTAACCACTTGCTGTTTTTGAGGTGCGTTCACAGACGGTGCTGCTGTTGTGTTGAATTAGAGCAAGCCACTCATGCAAACCGACAGTGTGTTCATTTGTAAATGCGGGACCCGTGATACCCTTGAATAAAAGCCTTAAAAGTTCAATTTACATGTTCTTTGTTGGTATGATTGTTATACTCACAATATTGCCAAAGCATCAATACACATGACAAAAGCACAGACAAGAATAATAAAAGAAAACAATAGTGTCTGATTAAAAAATAAGGTGGCAATAATAAATGATAATAATTTATTTAAAATATATTAAATATATTTTTATATATATTTTTATTTTTAAATATATTCTTAGTTTGTGCTTATCTTGGTGAAAGCCGAGTACAAATCAGCATGAAGTTTTAACATCTACTCCCGTGTAATGGAAATCAACTATATGTTAAATGATTTTAACTCTGAATGAACAACAATTGGTGAATAGGTTATCATGATCAAATAGGCCTAAAGTACAATAAAGCGCCACTTCCCGGTGCTGCAATGTAAAGAGGCTGGTGAAATGTGTACATTGTATTTAATTCTTTTTCTCTTAATTGGATGCAGGAAGCTGGCATTTCTCCCTCTAGTGATTTCTGTAACTTATACATATTGTGTTTCTTCCCAGGCACAGAAATCATGGATAGAAAGAGCTTTCAGCAAGAGAGAATGTGTGCACATTATTGTAAGCACCAAAGACCCCCATAGGTGAGTACCGCCACCTCTGCTGTAGTCTCTGCACAAGGTGAATTTTTAACAAACAAATAGCAGATTTAAACTGCTTTTAGGTGTAACTAAATGTGTCAATACTATTAATGAAAGAGAAATCATTCTTCATTAGTGTGGCCTTGTTTGAAACTGTTAGAGCATCTAAAGAAAGATACCACTGAGCATCTAAAGAATCACTACAGATTGCGGAAGTGAATGCTTGTGAATATGATCTTGTTTTCTAAATGGTTCTTTTAGACTGTTTTTAAAGATGTGAAGAATTTGTTAGCTTCACTGTAATTAATCTGGCTGAGAAATGTAAATCTCAAAGCTTTTAATTAAATCTGCAAATAAAGATTTTGTAGATCACTTGCTGACAGTTTTGACTTTCACTTAATTTAACTCTTTTTACGGGGTTGTGTCTTCTGTCACAGGTGCTGTTGTGGCCGTCTAATTGGTCAACATGTTGGCCTGCCCCCCAGCATCTCATCCAATCAGAATGAGAAGTCAGATCGTGTGCCAAAGAATGACAGCTTGTCAGAGAAGTGGTCCATCAGCAAGCACACCCAGCTCAGTCCCACTGACGCCTTTGGAACCATTGAGTTTCAGGGAGGTGGACACTCCAACAAAGCAATGGTAGACGGACGCATTTAGTCTCTTATTAACAATGGTTTGATGTTCAAAGTGCTCAAAATAACTCTGATAAAATATCCATGAACCTTTTATAACCCTTTGCGAGACATTTATTAATGTCTGTTGATCCTGCCAGATTGGACTTCAAAATATCATCCATTTTACAGCCATAAAGTCAGTAATTCAGAGGACATTCAACAAGACTACAGATGAAAATGTAGGGAGCAAAATGATTTTATTCATTGGAAATTGATGGAATATTGATAAGTAGACATTATGTACCAGACATTTGGCTGTTATTTAACACTACAAGTGACATTATCGGAAAATGAAAGTCATTTAAGAGGATCACAAAGTTCCTACATTTTACCTACATGTTGATTTAAATCCCAGCAAGTACAGCTTGACATAACTGAATGGTTTCCCAAAAAAAAATTAAGCAGCATAGTTTTCAAGATTGATTATAATAAGAAATGTTTCTTGAGCACTAAATCAGCATATTAGAATGATTTCTAAAGAATCATGTGAGACTGAAGACTTTGCCATCACAGGAATAAATTACTTTGTAAAATATTTTCCAATAGAATAGTGTTCTTTTAAACATCATTTCCCCCCATTTTTTTTTATCAAACAAATGCAGCCTTGATCAGCATAACACCCTTTTTCAGAAATAACAAAAAATCGTACAGACTCCAAACTTTTGAATGTAGTGTAAAATCTTATATGTACTGTTAAAGATTGTCTCAAGATTGTCATAATTCCACTTTTATGTTTTGTCAGTATGTACGAGTGTCTTATGACACTAAGCCAGACTTACTGCTGCATCTGATGACGAAGGAGTGGCAACTGGAGCTTCCCAAGCTGCTCATCTCTGTTCATGGAGGACTTCAGAACTTCGAGCTGCAGCCCAAACTCAAGCAAGTCTTTGGCAAGGGTCTCATCAAGGCTGCCATGACCACTGGGGCCTGGATCTTCACTGGGGGAGTTAACACTGGTGTGTACGAGGTGTTAATGTATCTTTCAGTTTAATTAAGATTCTGAGTAGATTACTGTGGCGAGCAGGACGAGGTCAATGGCTGTGGGAGGACGGCGCGAGGCCGGTGGCGTGATTACTAATGAGCGACACCTGCGCGACGCACCGGTCTCGTATCTCTAACGGAGGAGCGGAAGCATAAAAGGAGGAGCGACGACAGTGGAGATGGAGAGAGGAACAGGCCTGATTTTATGTTGTGTTTTGTTTCTGTTTCTGTTCTTATACTTTCATTTTGTTGTTGATTTATTTTATTATTAAAGTCTTTGAATGTTCGCCGGTTCCCGCCTCCTCCTTCCCACAACAACGAACCTCGTTACAATTACTCTTATTAAGATTCTGAGCAATGCTAGTCAATATTATAGTCTGATACTATCTAAATTCTTAGAGAGATAAATGGCGGATGAAGATGTCTGTGTAACTGTGTACTATCTCAATGTCCATGATGCCTTGTGTGATATCTCTCACACTGAGAATCTGTTATCTCTTCCATTATCTGTCTCTTCAGGAGTCATCAGGCATGTTGGTGATGCTCTGAAAGACCACGCTTCCAAATCGAGGGGGAAGATCTGTACTATTGGCATTGCCCCCTGGGGGATTGTGGAGAACCAGGAAGACCTGGTGGGCAAAGATGTAAGTGACTCGACTACTGATAAATTTAATTACTAAACCTATTATAGTATAGTATAGTATAGTATAGTATAGTATAGTATAGTATAGTATAGTATAGTATAGTATAGTATAGTATATTTTTCTAAATGACCAGTAAGACTTTATTTGGCTTGGATCATGGCAGATTTCATTAAATAATACATTCATTAAATAGTAATGAAACTGTCAAATTGATATATTCATTGGAATTATTATTCACAAAAGCAAATCTCCAGATCACAACAGGATGATTTTCATGTTGTCTCTGCATGTATTCTGTGTCATGTAGAATTCTATAAATAATTTGTGTGTGAGCCACTACATATATCTACTCAGTTTCACCTCAGCTTGTCGGTGTGTCTCTGAGGACTGATGCACAACTGAGACACAGAGATAGAATCATTCTTTATTTATAACCACTGATTTCTATTCCTCCTTACTCATACACAATTTTGGTTCTGTCTTTCTATCAATCTCTCTCAAAGCCTCACTCAACCCCACCACTCTCTCTAGTCTGGGCTGGTCTGGGCGGATATCTCATGCAGTGAATGTTTTAGAGATGATGTTTTGAAAAAACAAGACACTATATGTTCACTCTTTCTAGGTCACTGATCAAATAAGCAAATTTGTGGCATTGATCACGTGACTATTTGTAAAGACAGTCTTCCATTGAAGCACAAGGCAAAAAGGGGAGCAACTCAAATACTAAAACATTTAGAAATTCATTCATTTCTTTTTTCTTTCTTTTTTTACAATAGTAATTATTTATTTATAATTTTGTATATAATAATTTTATAAATTACAGGATTTATTTTTTATTATTTATATGCTACTTGTATTCAGTTATTTATTTGTATTATTATAAATATGCTAAATTAAACCATTTCTTCTAGTGGTCTCAGATTTTTGGACCCCAAGTTGCTCACTATGTTTACTGAATGTTTTATCTTCTGTCCACTGATCACTTGTGCATGCCACTCTGCTTTTTGTAACATGTCACTGTTACTATTGTGTCCTTCTTCATATCCTGAACATCCCTGGACAGCCTCTTTTTACTTCATGCTGTGTGTATTGCAGGTGGTCCGGCCGTACCAGACAATGTCTAACCCTCTTAGTAAGCTTACGGTACTCAACAGCCTACACTCCCACTTCATTTTGGCTGATAATGGCACCACCGGAAAGTATGGAGCGGAAGTCAAACTGCGCAGACAGCTAGAGAAACACATCTCTCTGCAAAAGATCAACACGCGTGAGTACAGTTGCGAGTAATTAAAGATGCTAATGTTCATGTGAATACTCCAAACTTCAAATTCAATGGTGCATTTAAATTATTTTCTAGAGAGGTTATAATAGTCTTATATCCTCAGTCACTTCTTCTAGGTTTTGTTGTGCTGTTCTTCAAAAACCCACAGAGGTGATTCTCTATAGATTGCTGTCAGAAATGCCCAGATTAGTTTGTGGCTCAACGTGAAAAACGCTACACGAGCTGCAAGATTCATAGCTGACTGCACTGAGAGTACAAAGCCCTCCGCAACTGCACTCTGCCAGATAATATCCATACAGTCCATTTACTCGCATAAAGATATCAAATAAACGTCATTCAGCTGAAGGAACACATTCAGATTAAAGCTGGTATAAATGCAATAAATCACAAACACACAAGAAAAAGATGACTATCATTTAGGGTCATTAAAAAGTGCTTTTAATATACACTGGTTACTTCTCTCCACTGGCTGGATCATGCATTCTTGGATCACACTTTCATAAGAATCCTATACCACACAGATGTATGCTTGATTATAATGTTCTTTATCATTCTGAGACATTACTGCTGCCATTATCAATGGTAAGTGTATATACAAACATCTCTTAAATTAAATTGGCGTTACGGCTTGCTTTCTGTGGGCAATAATAAAGCAGCTTTAATTATGGCAGGCTAATAGCTTTGAGTTGTGTTAATATGGCGCAATCTGCATTGGGCCTAATTCACTTGAGATAGAAACCGAGTTTGAACTAAAAAAAGAATAAAAAAAGACTTAATTTTGGCACTATTTCAGCACACTGGTATAATTGGATTGCAGCTGAAATGCAAGGGTTTTTTAACCAAAAGTTAATTTGTCCCAGCATTTTTACATTTTTCCCCCCAGCAGACATGATATGTCTCCAACGTTGTGAATCTTTATAATTTAATAATTAATTCATTTTAATGATTTTTTATTTAATTTAATTATTAAATTTGTTCATTTATGATATCATTCAATATTTTTATTTTTATTTATTATTTAGCCAATTTAATACATAAACACTTTTCCACAGCACCAAATGAGCCATTCCATATACCTGCCATATACAACGCAAGGTCATCAACAGGAAGTGAGCTAGAGATTGACCTCTGTCATGTGACCTGTGGACTTCCCTTTGTCATCCTATGCCTGGAGTAATAGAGGGGGCTGGGAAGTCAAAGGGACGCTCAGGCGTCATCATTCACATCAAAAATAACACCAGCCTCACCCACGCTGATTCATCCGTAGGAAGCAGCATGTGTGTACGGATCACTTATAATAATCAGCATTTAAACCGGCAACAGCCTTGACATTTAAATGGGCAAACCCTATAACACATCCAACCCTGTTGAAGCAAGACTTCAAACATGTTTGAGCCCTGTAAGCAGAATAGATGAAACATGTTTAAGCTCATTAAATCATCCCGTGACACTTTCATGACACATATTCACACTGGATAAGAACAGTTTATTCTGACATCACTCTCATGACAGAAGGTTCATATATCTGAGCCATATCTCAGTCCACAGCCACCTCTCTCTCTCTCTGTTTTCTGTTGCATCAGCTGTGTGATGGTGGTGTTTGCTCTGGCTTTGGGCAGAGCTCATTTCTTTATTTTATTACCTGTCCTTTCCAACACTAGAAGAACATCAATAATGCTCTGAGCTATCACCATGAGGCTCACAGAGCTACAAAGACCCTCAAACATGGAATCAAATCTCTTTGTTTTGGAAGAATTGTGGCAGGCTGCGGCCCGGCTGATGTATTCACATTCTGACAAGCACTGCAGCGGTACTGGATTAAAATGAATTACAGACCTGTGCCTGCTGTTGTTGGGCTAATGAGGAGGTCTTTTTGAGTGTTTCTCAGATGAGGGAAAGAGTAGCGTGCACGGGATGAAATGAAGATTTCCTTGCAGGATAAGATGGGATGTGAGAATCAATTTCATTGTACAGGATTAGGTGCAGTCTGATTGGAATCAGGAAGAGGAGGATGAGGGGTGTTACTGAGATGAATCAGTGTTTAATTCCTAGTTCACATGGGAAATATGCATAAACGGTCCAATGTGAATTAGAATGTATGTTGGGAAATTGCAGACTACTAAACAGGGATGAATACAGAAAGAATGACTTGCGGCTACTGATGGCATTGTGTTGATGCCACCCTCAAAATTGGTGCAGAAGTCCCCCGGTGCCATGTTACTCGTGGTGTTTTTATTATTTTATTTATTAATTATTATTGGGATTCTGTTATTTGATTTGTCTGTCATTATTAAATTCATCGACTAAAGTGTTAAAATGCATACTTTACTTAGTATTTGATTTAATATTATCAATTTGACATATAGGGCCCTTTCATACACCCGGCGCAATACAACGCCAAGCGCGACGCAAGTGTTTTTTTTCTAGTTTCAGCCTGACTTTTCACGTCCTGTGCCACGTTGTTTAAATAGCAAATGCATTTGCCTATTTGTGTGCCCATGAGCGTGCTGGTCTGAAAATGAGGTGTGTTCAGCCGCATTGTTGGCGCGTTGCTATTTTGAGGCAACTGAAATAGTGCCATTGACCAACAAAAACCGGGCCTAAAGTCAATAGCCCAATATTTTTTTTTTTTGTTATTTAAAGAGCACGTTAGTAATGTGCGCCTATAGGCGGGTCCACAACGCGCGTACACTCTGCTTTATTACACACACACACACACACACACACACACACACACACACACACACACACACACACAGGGATGTCCAGCAGCACACAAACTAGCCAAATATTAAAAATAAAAGGATTACAATGTAAAAGATTCATATTGTGTACATAAAGATATGATGGAATCCGGCTTGTCCCGTATGGTCTGCTTGCGCACTTTAACCTCGCGCACGATCAGATCCGTTTGCACTCTGGAGACGCGTTAAATAGCTAATCTAATGTAAATAGCTAATCTGCCATGGCGCGAGCGCAAATGGCTTTTAAAGGGAATGGAAGATGAGACTCTGGTTGGTTTATTTCACGTTATGCCCAAAACACACCCATTTAGACCATGCCCCGGGCGCACAGACCATTTTTCCCGTCGTTACTAGCAAAAGTGGATTCGGACACGCCCTAAGTACAATTGCGCCCTGAACTTTAGACCATGCGCTTAGATCGTTAAAATAGGGCCCTTTGTGTATTACTACTGTGATCTGGGACCGTAGAACCACCTCTCTGAATCAGGCACCTGAAACTTTAAAATGGTGAGTGCACACTTGATATATATGCCTGGTTATAACGCTCTTCTCCATCATTTCCTTTAGCGTGGTGTTAATTGTTCTAAAAGTGGTACAACTGTTTGGTGAATTCACCCCTTAGGGTTTTGTGAATATAGACATAATTTCATTAACATATGAATTAATATTCTCAATTTTTTATTACATTTGTATGCTGTGTTATATTTAAATTCACCCTTCATTCAACGCTCTAGTCAGTCATGCACACATTCTGATTAAAAGTCACATCAAACTATGTTGGCCGATGGTGATTCTAGCCTAGAAACCTGTTTTAGCCTTCCCTTCCACTAACTGGGTCTCCAAGTGATGAGATGATGAGCTGGTCTTTTTACTTTGGTGGTTTATTTCTGGATTTTGTTCCATGCTGCTCATCTCTACGGGCTCCATCACATTAGCATAATGGAGCAGTATAGCTGTTTTTTCCATCTTCTTAAAGGTTTATTTGATTCGAGGGTTTTTTTACCCTCGTAAAGGAAGCTTATGCCATAACTGTTGTAGATTTGCACAGAAGATATTTTCGACCAATCCCTTCAGTTTTGTAAATCAATAAAATGCATGGACAGTTGCTACTGCGCTTATAATGGAAGCCTATAGGGCAAGTATAGGCTACAGAAAATATATAACTATATTACGAAAGTATAACAATAACTCTTAAACATTACACTTTTAGGATGAGTGGGATGGATTCACTTACTAACTTTTTCTTTGCAGTTACATGGCATCTTTATAATTCCACTATAATTATAATTAATATAATTATCCCTATTGAAAAGTAGTCCCATCACAAAATGATTATATAGTACTGATAAAATTATATTTTTTAACTGATTTATTCAAGTTAATGATTTTACAAAAATACAAGCCTCACATTTCTGCTCTGTTGGTGCACAGGGTGTTCTTTCACCTTAGTATTACATTGTACACATGGTTTTTCCAGCTGAGGGACGAATTGAAAATACAGTTTGTCAATACCACAAACTTTTATATACCGAGATTATTCCTTTAAATATTTATCAGGAATTAAAGGAACAGTCAGTAATCACCCACATATTGTTCCAAACTCAGTCTTTTTTCACTGAACACGAGGAGACATTTTAAAAAAATCTTCATTTTAACAAATCTTTTCCGTAACAACAGTCCATAGTGACTAGCGGGGTGTCAAGCCACAAAAAGGAGAAAGGATTTGGTCCAAATGACAAAAGTTTGGGGTCAGTAAGATTTTTTTAAGAAATTAATATTTTTATTCTGATTCTAAAGACATTTATAATGTAAAAAAAAAATATTTCTTTAAAAAAAATGCTGTTCACTGAATGTTCTATTCCTCAAAGAATCATGAAAAAAGCACAACTGTTTCCAACACTGAAAATAATCACAATAATAAGATATTTTACTAGAGTACCAAATCAGCATATTAGAATGATTTCTGAAGGACGTGTGACACTGAAAATTCAGTTGTGCGACAAACAAATCGACATGCAAGTCATTATTCAACATGTGTAACATGAGGGTGAGTAACATTTTTGGATGGTTTATTATACTCTGCGTGACATTTTATGTACTTAACTGTAAGGACTATGATGATGTAGGGTCTAGTAGACTTGTGAGTGTTTGCAGTTATTGGAGGTGTGGAAGGATAGAAAACTCTGGATCAAATCAAAATCAGAACCAAATGAATAGTACATGTTTTCTTCCTCACTTTCA